CTATGTTCAAGAGCAAGTTTCAGAGTCTCTTCTGACATCCATTTTGGTCTTTTCTTTCTTTCCTGTCTTTTTAATGACTTTTTGCTTTCTTCATGTATGATGTCCTTGATGTCATTCCACAGTTCATCTAGTCTTTGGTCATTAGTGTCCAATGTGTCAAATCTATTCTTGAGATAGTCTCTAAATTCAGGTGGAATATACTCAAGGTTGTACTTTGGCTTTCATGGACGTGTTTTAATTTTCTTCCATTTCAGCTTGAACTTGCACAGGAGCAGTTGATGGTCTGTTCCATAGTCAGCCCCTGGCCTTGTTCTGACTGATAATCTTGAGCTTCTCCATCATCTTTCAACAGATGTAGTCAGTTTGATTCCTGTGTATTCCATCTTGCGAGGTCCACATGTATAGTCACCGTTAATGTTGTTGAAAAAGGGTATGTGCAGTGACGAAGTTGTTTGTCTTGTATATTCAATCATCAATCTCTGGGATTGTTTCTATCACTCAGGCCATATTTTCTAACTACCGATCCTTCTTTTTTGTTTCCAGCGTTTGCATTCCAGTCACCAGTTATTATCAGTGCATCTTGATTGCAAGTTTGATCCATTTCTGACTGCAGAAGTTGGTAAAAATCTTCAATTTCTTCATCTTTGGCCTTAGTGGTTGGTGTGTAAATTTGCATAATAGTTGTATAATTGATCTTCCTTGTAGGTGTATGGATATTATGCAACACCATTCCTCTTCAATTTGTCATTTCTGGCATAGTAGATGGTAAGATTGTCCAATTCAAAATGGCCAATTCTAGTCCATTTCAGTTCACTAATGCCTAGGTAATCGATCTTTATGTGTTCCATTTTATTTTTGATGTCTTCCAATTTTTCTAGATTCATACTTCATAGATTCCATGTTCCAGTTATTAATGGATATTTGCAGCTGTTTCTTCTCATTTTAAGTCTTGCCTCATGAGCAATGAAGGTCCTGAAAGCTTGACTCCATCCATGCCATTAATGTCGACTCTACTTTGAGAAGGCAGCTCTTCCCCTGTCGTCTTTTGAATGCCTTCCAACCCAAGGGCCTCATCTTCCAGCACTATATCAGACAGTGTTCCACTGCTATCCATAAGATTTTCACTGGCCAATTTTTTTTTAGAAGTAGTTTGCAGGGTCCTTCTTAGTCTGTCTTGGTCTGGAAACTCCACGGAAAGTTGTCCACCATGATAGTGACTCTGCTGGTATTTGAAATACCAGTGGCATAGCTTCCAGCATCACAGCAACTGGCAAGCCACCACAGTATGACAAACTGAGAGACGAGTGGTGGTTTCAAAAGTTAGGAATGTTAAAAAGAAGAAAAAGTTGTTTAAATAAATGTAGTGTTTTTGATAACTGAGTTGGTTTCCTGTTATTGTTAGCTGCCATCAAGTCGGCCCCCGACTCATGGCAACCCCATGTATTACAGAGTAGAACTGCTTCATAGGGTTTTCTTGACTGTAATCTTTACGGAAGCAGGTCACCAGGCCTTTCTTGTGCAGAGCCACTGGGTGGGCTCGAACTGCCAACCTTTCACTTAGCAGGAGATCACAAGCTGCTTGCATCACCCAGGCTCTTTATGAGTTCCCTACATATCCCTTAGTAAGTCCTGTCCTTATGTCCTGGAGCACGGTTAGATCAGGTTCTTTCTGTGCTACTGGATTTCATGACATAAAACAGAGGGGTATTTGGGAAGGGGGATGATAGGGAGATCAGCATATGGGGAAAACAGTGAAGGACTAGGGTGTCTGGAAAAGAGAGGGAGTCCAAAAACAAGGCTGGAAAGGGTCTGTTTTTGATGAGAGGTCCTTACCATTAGTGGATTGAGAAGGCGCTGATGGAAGTCTTTTGTTAGAGAGGTTCCTCCCAGCCTAGTGCATCCTCACTGGCCCCATGTGGCTTAGGGCCTGATAGAGGAGGGTGATGCTCTCTCTCCAGAACTCTACTATGACCGTGGGAACCACCATGAGTTTGTGTCCCTGGTGAAGGACCTGGCCCGGCCCGGAGAGATCACCCAGTCACAGGCCTTTGACTTTGAATTCACCCACGTGGAGAAGCCGTATGAATCCTACACAGGGCAGAACGTGAAGCTACGGTAAGTTGTGTCCACCTCTTCCCCATGCTTGCCCAGGAACCTGCTAATGTGGATGAGGACCTGAGGCAGTCCTCATTTCTGGGGAATATTTATATGGGTATTGGATCAGCAGACAGAAGGAAGAGAGTTGAGAGCAGTGCTGTGCTGGTAAAATGTTTAATGTCTGGCTCTCTGGGAGTGAAAAAAAACCTGGCTCAAAGCATTTCCTGTGATGGCCAATTTCAAGGTACCAGTGTGACGTCCCTGAGTACAAGAGCTGGGAAGAGATGTGCACTGGCATCCCATGATACAGTATTACCATGATGGAGATACACTAGACGTAATACACTCATGAGCATAAACCAAAACCAAACCAGTTCATTCCAGTTCAGACCCCTACTGAGACTTTTCATTTCTACCCCTAGATAAACTGAATCAGAGTCTACATTTTAACAGGATCCTCAGGTGGTTTTTAATTTGTATAACTTCCTGGGAACTTGTTAGAAATACAAATTCTCAGCAGGGGTTCCATCCGGAATGAATGGGTTTGAAGCCCTGTGTCAAGTTGATTCTGACTCATAGTGACCCTTTAGGACAGAGTAGAACCATTTCATAGGGTTTCAAGGCTTTAATTTTTATGGAAACAGACTGCCGTATCTCTCTCCTGTGGAGCGGTTGGCGGGTTCGAACCACCAACCTTTCTGTTATGAGCAGAGAGCACTTAACCACTGCAACACCAGGGCTCCTCTCATGAGCATAAAACCAAAAAACCCATTGCTATCGAGTCGATTCCGAATCATAGCAACCCTCCAGGACAGAGTAGAACTGCCCCATAGGATCTTCAAGGAGTAGCTGGTAGATTCAAACTGCCTACCTTTTGGTTAACAGCTGAGCTCTTAACCACTGGGCAACCAGTCTCCCTCATGAGCTATAGGTAACCATAAAATATGTAGCAAAATAATTAGGAAGTGATGCCTTTGAGTATGTGTTACCCTTGTATTTCATATAACTCACTTATTCATAAGTTTGTGTAGTTTAATGTTAAACAGTAGCTGTATTTAATGACAGGTGACAGTTCTTGAAAACTTCACAACTGGGTCTTGTGAGCTGGCATGCGCAGGCTCCCGCTCCAGCCTTGGCTGGGTGTCAGGAAGTGCTGCTCCTTGGTGCAGCTCTGCCACACAGTTCACAACATAATCTTGAGCAGTTTTTTGATGCTCTGTAACTTACCTTTCTAACTGGAAAATGAGTAATAGATTTGGATTCTAATTCTAGATCTGTCCTCTCCTCTCTGGGGTGGTAAGGAAATAAAGTGTAGTATAGTGTGATAAGTTCTTTGGAAATTAGTAAGCACCTTATGAGTATATAGGGTTATTTTTATTGTTCCAGTGTTAGAAACTCTGAAGATAGGGACTGATTCCAGGGCCTCTGGGTGGGAAAAAAAAAAATGCGGAGTATTTATGACTGCCTATTGTTCCAGTGTTAGAAACTCTGAAGATAGGGACTGATTCCAGGGCCTCTGGGTGGGAAAAAAAAAATGCGGAGTATTTATGACTGCCTAGGTCTAGTCCGGAGATGATGTGCAATGCTGGATGAAGCGGACGTCCTACACCACTCTGGACACCTGATTCCAACTCAGTGCTATCTCATGACATCAGCTCATTGTCGTCACCTGAAGGCCTGGTGTAGGATGGATGGCTTGCTGACTACGGCAACACTTTTATTCTTTTTTCTCCTTGGTCTCCCCTCTTCCAACAGAACAGATTTTATGGGCTCTTCTTTGCAAATTGTTGCAGGGAGGTCTTTTTAATCTTTGCAGTGAGAATACTTGCACTAGAGACAGACAGCGTTCCATAACTGCATTTAGAGAAGGGAGCAGCAGTGAGCTGGCTGTGGGGTTATTATTCAATTTTATTTTTTGCAGTGAATTTGTCTTAAGTATTTTTTTGTCAGAAAGAAAAGTGTTGCTGTCAAAATTAGATGAAGACTACGGGATCTGTGTTGAGAGAAGGAGCTAAAGAAGAGAAAATTAGCTAAGAAAGTTTAGAAGATGTAAATTCCAGCTTAAGAATTTGTGTCCTACCTCACAGGCAGAGGAAACATGAGAAGATGGTGTGGGGTTTTACCTTTGTTTTAGGCAGGGGAATGGTTCTTTTGGAAGATTAACTTAGAGTCTGTGTGTAGCATTTGATGGATGGGAAGAGTAGAGACAAAAAGTGGAAGGCTATTATGAGGCCCTAAGGGTTTTACTTTCTTGGACACAATAGGAACAGGCAGAAAGTGAGGAAGTTGATAGACACCAACAGAATTTACAATGACTGGAGACTTGCGGCAGTGGAGATGAAGACTGAGGGCTGTCAAGAGGAAGAGATGATTTGGAGATAAGATGATCTATCCAAACCTAGAAATGAGTTTGAAGCACTGGCAAAACATAGAGGTGAGAAGTTCACCAGACAGTTGAAACGCAAGCCTGGAGTTCAGACCCAAGGGGAAGCTTAGAAATCTACCCTTAGAAGGCATCTGCTCAAAGGTAGTAACTGGTAAGTTTTTTGAGGATGAGGAGAACCCAGGGAGAGAAGTGCCAGGATCAACAGGATTGGGGTAACGTCCTCTTGGGGGAGCTAGGGGAAGTGTCTTTCAAGGAGGAGGAAGGAAGAGTTTTATGTCTAATGCAGAATTGACACCAAGAAAAGAGCTATGGATTTGGCAGCTAGGAGGCCATGTGTTACCTTCAGGGAGCAGTTTCTGTTGGGTGGGGGATCAGAAGACGGAGGTCAAGAGCAGCAATGGTGAGGAAGTTGCAGCAGTTAGAGAGGACCTCTTGTGACAGCCATCTCTGAAAGAAAACAGAAAGTGTGGTAGGCCCAGAGTGCAGCGACCCCAAGAGTATTTTTGGTGAGTTCTGGACCTTTCATAAGCCCAAAGGAAGAAATCTTTAGCAGGAGAGAGATTGAGTATGTAGATAAAATTGGAAAAATTCCAGGATCAAGGTGCAGAATACTGACTCTCAACAAGGCTTCCTTCCACCTTAGAATTGCTTGGGAAACTTTAAAAAAGGTTGATGCCTGAGCACCTCTCCAGACAGCTGTGTCGGGTGTGCCTGGGCACCAGGAGTTTTAGAAGCCCCCAGCTGACTCTGAAGGTCTTGAAAAATAAGAGTGCTGTTAGAAGAAGAGGATGAGTGAGGATACAGACATTTCTGGGCCCTAGGTGCGCACAGCATGAGGCAGAGAAGGGAGGGCACGTGCATGTGCTCGGTAGATGGAAGGCAGTGTCATCCACCAGGAGGGAAGGGCAGGCTTGGGAGCCAGAGCACTGAGAAAAGGGTTTGGAACAAATGTTTTGGGGAATGTGACAGGGATGTTGCTAATATGAATAAAAGGATTGCCCAGACGCAGTCAGTGACACATGGCATAGCAGCCCAAATGGGGAGCTGATTGAGTACCATGTTTTTATAACTTTCTCCAGTAATGTTTGTTGATAGGCGCAGGGATTAACCAAGTTTTATGTAGAAGAAAAGTAATTAAAGGGGTGTTTTCTCCCTGGTTCGATATTCGCATAGAGTTAGTTCACGGAGACAGGGATGCTGTGGTGGCAAAAATAAGATGGCTGGCCTTGGAGGCCAAGCTTGTCATAGGAAACCCTTCAAGGGCCATGAACCGTCTCCTCCTACCTTGTTCCCAACCACAGGAGCACCCTCCCCAAGTACACTGGGTTCAGCCAGACCCTGTTACTCAGACAAGCCAGGTCCTTTCATACCTCTGTTGCTTTTCCAGGAGTACCTTTTTCTCCCTCCCTGTAGCACTTGATTTCTGTATCTGTTAGCACTTTCCGTATGTTCTATTTTTTCTGTTTGTTTGCCCATCTCCTTCAGTGCACTGTGAGCTCCCCAAGAGACTGTATCTTATTCATCCTTTGCCTAGCACAGGATTGGGCTCAGTAATGCTTGCTGAATAAATTAGATGACTTAATTTCTCCAGTCCCTATTCCCTCCTTTAACTATGAGGGACTTTTAAAACGCTTTTTGATGTGTAATTTTTAAATAAATGGATATGCAAATATGTGAGTGAGACAGATCCCTGCACCCAAAGAGCTAGGAGTTAGAAATAAAATAAAACCTGTACACAAACGCATGGTTGGACACGCAGGTGTCCTGAAAGGCATACGAATGACATGCTTTGGAGTATAGAGCAGAGACATCACTCTCACATCAAGCAGGGTTCTTAACCCAGAGTCATGGGCTCCAAAAAGGGATTTGGGGGAAGAGTCTTTGAACTCCCTGGAATTGTAATGGCAAAATTCTCTATATAGGTGCATGTATGCATTTTTTTCTGGGAGGTGGGTCCACAGAGGTAAATTCTCAAAGGGATACCAAGCCCAAGACCTACTGTAAGGGATTCTCTCGGGGAGGTCAGTTTTGTGCCTATATCTAGGCAGCATCTGGAGACTGGAAGTGCTCATTCATGTTAGTCCGCCTCCTACAGGTATTTTCTTCGAGCCACCATCAGCCGCCGCCTCAACGATGTTGTCAAAGAGATGGACATTGTCGTTCACACACTCAGCACATACCCGGAACTGAACTCTTCCATCAAGATGGAAGTTGGGATTGAGGACTGTCTGCACATTGAATTTGAATACAATAAATCCAAGTAAGTGTCCTGGGCCTCTAGGTTGTAGAATAATTATCTAGGGAGGTTAAGCTAGGACTGAATCAGATGCAAATTGATGGAGCTTCATGTTGCCCATTACCATCAAATCGATTCTGACTCATAACAACCCTATACGACAGAGTAGAACTGCCCCATGGAGTTCCCTAGGCTGTAATTTTTATGGAAACAGATTGCCAGGTTATTTCTCCCACAGAGCCGCTGGTGGGTTTGAACCCCTAGCCTTTCGGTTAGCAGCTGAGAGCTTAACCATTGCACCACCAGAGCTCCTAAAAGTCACTTTAAGGGTCTGTATATAATGTGCAAGAGAGTTAGTTCTGTGCAAGTCAGGGACTGCACACTTCCAGACTCTGGTGCTGTCTTGCCAGAGCAGACTGCACTAAGTGAAAGTCATGATTCTGTGATGGGACAGGAAGAGCATAGGACCCAAGAGGCCCTCATTCTGCCACGAAAGGGTTGGGTTAAGGCTGGATTTCTCATCTGAAAAATAAGGGGCTTGGGCCAGATTAATGAGCTTCAATCATAGGGGCTGCCACAGAAATTATAAAGGAGGAGCAGGGAAGAATGAGAACAGCTCTTTTATCTACGGTGTGTATGTTTATGCATTGTTTAAGATTCCATTTAGAATAAAGGAAGCTTTGGTTTATTTAAGTTTGAAGACCTCTAGAGTCTATGATCTCTAAGCATCCCTCTAGAAATGATATAATTGTCCTAACCAAAAGCCAAACCCATTGCTGTTGAGTCTCTTCTGACTCATAGCAACCCTGTAGGATGGTAGAACTGCCCCAAAGGGGTTTCTGAGGCTGTAAGTCTTTACCAAAGCAGACTGCCACATCTTTCTCCTGCGGACATGTTGGTTTGATAAGTGCTCTTCAGTTACCTATTCGTAGTGTCTGCAGTCTTCCCAATTAGATTGTAAGCAGAAGGTGATATGAAATAGTGGCAAGAACACAGTCGAGTTAGGGACCTGGGCTCACACCTGTCTCTACCCCCTACTCAAGTCCTGGATTGCATTATTTATCCTCTTTCAACTCCTTTTCTTTACCTGTGATGTAAGGAAATTAAATTCTGAAGTCCCCGCCAACATTTCATGTCCTATGACTGTTAAGTTTCAGGTTTAAAGATTTTGATATTTTCCTACCATGTGTAATACAGGGCTGTGTACATTCAGACTGCCAGTCTTACTGACTGACCCAAAGGTAAAAGTTCAAAGCGTCAGAAAGGGTTATGAAACGCAGCTGAATTCCTCACAGCTCACAGAGCACAAGCACTGCTGAGCAGAGCCCAGAGAGCAGGCAGTGCCATTGGAAACTGTGACTCATTTACCTTTGATTTACTTACTGCTCCTGCCTGTTCTTCTGTTAGGCCCAAGCAGACAGGTCCTGTCTGCTGCAAGCCATCTAGGCTCAGTTCCTAAAAGACGTGGAGATTAGAGAGGAAGGGAGAGACCTGGTCACTCGGTACATTACCCGTTGAGTTGATTCTGACTCATAGCGACCCTATAAGACAGAGTAGGGTTTCCAAGGAGTGGCTGGTAGATTTGAACTGCCAACCTTTTGGTTAGCAGCCGAGCTCTTAACCACTGCACCACCAGGGCCCCCTCAGTATATTAGAGTATCTAAAAACACATACACAAATACAAAAGGTGGAAAGGAAGTAAACCCCTGAGGAGACAGATTAGGTGAACAAACATGATCCTTCCTGGAGGGGAAGTAACCTTCAGGGAAAACTTCCTTTGAGTTGGGTGGGATGGAAGGATGGGGGACTCAGACAAAGAATACAGGGAAATCACTGCAACAACAATGCAAGCAGGACAGTGGGTGGGTTAGTGCTGCGACTCTACCTTTAGACAAACGTATATGGCAATACACTACTGAAACCAGAACGGCATGTAAAGGCACTGAAGGTCAACCCCTGAACAAACACCTTGGTTCCATCAACTTTCTCTTCCCCAGATACCACTTGAAAGATGTCATTGTAGGGAAGATATACTTCCTACTGGTGCGAATCAAGATCAAGCACATGGAGATAGACATCATCAAGCGGGAGACAACTGGGACAGGCCCCAATGTCTATCACGAGAATGACACCATCGCCAAGTATGAGATCATGGATGGGGCACCCGTGAGAGGTGAGCTCCTGACCCCACAACTGGGCAGAAAGCCTCAGCCCCTATTCGCGTTCTCCCAGGCCCTTCACAGAATTTTGGAGGGGCCTGGGGGATTGTATCCTTCAAGTTGGGTTTCCCTCTTAGCGTAATTCCTTAATCTCTAGTGGTGCATTGTGGATCCCAGGACAGAGGAAAAGGTGCCGGCTGAGTCTGTGAAGTATCAGGGCCCCACTCATCTTCACCAGAGCAACTCTCCTTAGACCTAGTGTATCGGTTGGGCTTGCACAAAGATTTCAAGAGTTATGCCTATTAAAAAAATGTTAATTGCTTGAAAAATATTGGTCTAGTAGATAATTCGAACATTTTGCTATTTTTTCCCCTTTTGACATTCGGATATTCTTTGCTGCTTGAGAGCCAGAAATTAATGCATAATCCTCGTTTTTGTCAGGTAATACCAAAAAAAAAGAAAAAACTTGTTGCAATCGAGTCAATTCTGACTCATAGCTGTGGTGAAACAATTCATTCACTAAGTGTGAATGAGCACCACTGTATACTCTGGCCAGCAGTACTAGGTACTGAAGAGAACACTGGGATTTAGAAACAGTCTTCTCCCCTGATGGAGCTAACATTATATCTGAGATGAGTGGAGTTGAAAATTATTATGTGGGAGTAGCAATCATTTATGTTCTCCATTGGGTCTGCAGCAACAGATGAAGAATATCTTCATTTTGAAGTGCTTGCTCTTCCAAGGTTCTATTCCATTTATTCCCAGTCAGTCCTTGTGGAAGGAGGTGTGTCATAGCTTGAGCAGCCTGCAACACTGAGGATGCCGACAGCAGATTCTTGGGGGGGTTGGGACCCAGTCCTCCTGACTCCAGCTGATGTTCCATTTCTCACCAGCTGTGCAAGTACTGTCAACTGTCATTTTTCCTGTAGAAATGAGGCACCAAAAGAAATAATAACAAAACAGAAGATAATTTGCAAATCATTTATATTTAGCTTTAGACTACATGGTAGGTTTGGCCTTTCTCACTGGAATTACCACCCTAATTTTGTTCCACCGATACTAGAAAAAGGAGCCCTGGTGACACAGTGGTTAAAGCACTTGGCTGCTAACCAAAAGGTTGGCAGTTTGAACCACCAGCTGCTCTGCGGAAGAAAGACGCGGCAGTCTGCTTCCACAAACGTTTACAGCCTTGGAAACCCTATGGGGCAGTCTACTCTGTCCTGCAGGGTCGCTATGAGTCAGAATCGACTGAACGGCAGTGGGACTGGTTTTGGTTATACTGGAAAGGCACAATGTTAGAGCTGGAAGGGACCTAAAATATTACACCGTCTGCTTCCACAGTTTTCCAAATGAGGAAATTAAGGTCCAGAAAAAGGAACAGACTTACTCAGAAGTCATACAGCTGGTTAGTAGACAACTGGGGCCAGAGTGAGGATTTTCTCTTTTCCAGACCACTGCACTGCCTTGCCAATTCATACTAGAGTGCCAACCCATTGTATTTGGGTGGCATATGCCAGTTGAGGGTAGAGAGAGGTGGCAGTGAAATTGCTGGGTGACATGGTGAGTGAGCTGGGTTTTGGCAGTTGCCTCTTGAAAACCCAGTAACTGGACACATTGCTTGTGATTAAAAGATGCTTGACAATATCTCCGTGTTGCTAATACTCATGGCTACTCATTGGTCTGTGTGAGGACATTGAGAAGAGGCAGCTTACCTGTGGTGGAGTGGGAGTGTCACATTTTTGCTTCAGCAGCCACTGGGCAGCAGAGGCCTTTGCTGTAGTGTTCCATGCCGTGTTCAGTGGGCAACCCCTGCTGTGGTCAGAGAGCAATTCGGCTAAGGTCAAGGGGGCCCCTCTGCCCTTGCTGACTCTCGTTTTGCCTATCACCCTGACAGGCGAGTCCATCCCGATCCGGCTCTTCCTGGCGGGGTACGAGCTCACCCCCACCATGCGGGACATTAACAAGAAGTTCTCAGTGCGCTATTACCTCAACCTGGTGCTGATTGATGAGGAAGAACGGCGCTACTTCAAACAGCAGGTGAGGCCTGGGACACAGGCCCTGGGAGCCCTGGGCAACAACAGGAATAGCATCTTCCTGCGGAAGATCAGGTCCCACTCTGACAGACCCAGCAGGGCAGTCCTGGGAGAGAGCTCTTAGGTGCTGTGCCACTTGTTGTTGAAGTGAGAATGTCTGGTCACCCAGACTCCCACAGCAAGAACGAGGGTTCCCTCTTGCTACCCAGGGTCTATTTCTCAGGCCTAAGCCTGCAGCTGTCCCGCCCTTACTGCTCAACCATCAGGAGTCCTGTGTCAGGGACGTATGAGCAGCTGCTGTCCTTGGTGACAGAGAAGCAGAGCTTGTTGCTACAACTCTCTGGGAGAAAGTTGGGGGGCATCTGGGAAGCCTGTCCCCTCCCCCCCACCTCTTCTTACAGTGTTGTGTTGCCCCCCGCCCCCGAATTCTGCAGGAAGTGGTGTTGTGGCGGAAGGGTGACATCATGCGGAAGAGCATGTCCCACCAGGCAGCCATGGCCTCACAGCGCTTCGAGGGCACAGCCTCCCTGGGTGAGGTGCGGGCCCCCAGCCAGCTGTCCAACAACAACAACAGGCAGTAGGCCCAGGGCCAAGGCGCTGCTGGGCCTCTACCCCAGCACCCCCATCTACCAAACACCAGCGGCTAGAGGGGGCAGGGAAGGAGGGTGTGCTGCTCAGCTGACCTGTTACATGCAACCTGAAAAAAAAAAAAATCATGTTTTTGACTTAAATTCTTTTCTCTGAAGAACCTAAGGGGCTTGGTTGGGAAGCAGTCTCCCTGAGAGTCTGTGGCTAAGGTGGGGGGAGCTGGTCTCTCCCTAGGAAACAAGAGCCTTCTGTTGAGGCCTCCCATAGGGCTGCCTCACATCTGATAGGAGAGCAGAAAGCAAGCACCTTTGTCCCTGTCCCTCCATGCTTCCTGACACAGGATCTGAGCATATCCCTGAGATTCTGAGCTGCCAAAAGGGCCTGGGGCAGTCACATCTTACACTCCCTCTGCTGTCCCTGAGGTGGTCTGCCCCCATCCGGAGTGGTAGGGGAGACTCAAGATCAGGAGGCTGCCTCCTTGGGAGTCTTGGATGTGGTGCTTTGAAGTCCTCACGGGCCACCTCCTTTCTAGCCTTTCTTTCAGTGCAGGAACCCAGACACCTTCCTCCTCCATCTTCACTGGGTTCTTGGCAGCAACATCTTAGGACAGCAGCCTGTGGAAGGGCCTTTGGAAGATTGTCCCTTCACCTGAGACACCCTGGGGTCAGTGTGGTGGATGGTCACAGGGTTGAAAACAAGAGGCTGGGCCACAGCCACTGTGAGGAAACATTAATGCTTGGTAACTCTACCTTCACCACAGAACTCCTCATTTTTCAACCCTGGGGCCAGGGTTGGTTTAGGGCTTTAGTCTAAGCACCCCAACAAGCCCAAAACAAGCGGGTCTGATCCCTTTAGGAAGAGCCAGGGGAGGAGCCTGGATTCCTTTGCTTTCCTAAGAGTGGATCCTCATTACTCCTTGCTTTTAGTTTCTGGAAATTGAAGCATGGTTTCAAACACGTGGAAATTCTGTTCCCACTATTGCTCCAAGCTCTCTACCCCTCTTCCTTCAAGTTAAGGAGGAAGAGAGAGGGTCTCAGCTACAATTTCAAAATAATTCTGCTTGCCAAATTTTGTCTTCATCTTCACCAGCTGACTGACCATAATTTAGGACCATTGGTATTTTTTGTTTAAAGACACTTATACAAAAGTCCCTGTGAGTATTGTTATGCTACGGAAGAGGGCTGTTTTCCCTCTATTGCACTGTGCTTGCGCCTGGCATAGTAAAGGTGTTGACTTTCTTACCTGCCTTATCTGGAAATGACCAGGAATTACTCTCCTACTGGCCTGTCTTCCCTTAAAGAAACACCAAGCAGATGCCGCTGGCCAGTAAGTACAATATTTGGTGATCTGAGTTCTCTAATTTGGAAAGTAGCAGGATTGGTTCCTGTGTCATCTTTCAGTTAGTGTGGAAAATGAGAACTCTTTTCCTTGGAAATAAGTGCAGTCTTGGGCCATTGGTGGGGCAGGCTCATGGAGCAGAGCTGAGACTGGAGGGAAGGGCATTTGGGATATCTACTGCAGTTGACTAGGGGCAGCAGAACCAAGGTCATGTTTCCCCTGTACTGGACCCTGAGTTCAGGTGTGACATACAGTCCCTGTTGAAGAGGGTCACCCATCCCGTTGCCCTTGGATTGTCAAGGTTGGGGTTAGTGCATTCGAGGGAGGCAGGGTCTTTGCTCCTTGCCTTTCTCAGAGCATGAGATGAGGCTGTCACCTCCTGTTAATAGTTGGTATTCTAACTAGAAAGCATCTATCAGTTCCTCTGCTCCAGCTGACAACACATTCTTTCTGACTTTCCTAACATCTTAAACCTTTCTCCTGGGAGAACTGGGAAGACAGACTCTGCTTTTAGTCTCCCAGGAGCTGTGCACAGCTATGTCTTCTATTCCCTTACTCTACCCCCATTCCCTACTTCCTGTCCAACCATGAAAGGGAAGGGAGACGGTGGTCCCCCTCCTTTAAAGGTTCCCATACCTGGCAGCGCACAGGTATTAAACCAAGCAGTGCAACTTGTAATTAAGCAGCTGCAGTGTTTACATGTTTCTTAATGTGTTGTCTTTTCAGTGGCTGTATTTTAAAAAAAAAAAGAGGATCAGTACTTGTTTTAATTATCTCTCTGATTAAAGGAGGCCCTGTGGCTTTGGAGGTTTATGCCCATGGTTCACCAGGTTCTGTGGTCTCTTCTGTCTTGTTCTGTAGAACCTCAGGCAGGCTCCCACCCTGATGGCAACACAACACCTGCTCTCGCCAGTGTACACAGCCCCTGCTGAACGATGAGCATGGCTAGGAACTGCATTCAGGTTTTACCCCTACTTAGAAACTTTTCCTGAAGCAGCTAATGACTTCAACTTTGTGGGACCAAGATGACCTCAGGAGCAGGGGATGACGGCTAGTGTAGAAAGACAGAAGTTTGAGTTTGAGTAGGTGTTAGCAGACAAAGTCTCAGCTCTGCATCCAGTATTTGCAGAGGCCATTAACTATTAGCTGCAGTAAAGGCAGACGGTAGAGGCAGCCCTGAGGCTTGCTGAGCAGCAACAGCCAGCCTGAAGGTAAAGAATTTACAATGGATTATTAAACTGTACCCAATGCTGTTTTAAAAGCTTTCCAACTTTGACATTAATATTTTATTGAAAATAAGTACACAAAAGCCACCTATTTACACAACTCCAGGTAAACATAACCAAATCTCCTTGTACCTTCTTTTGCCATATAAGTTTGACTTCTTTGGAGATGTGTCTTGCCTATTCCAGCAGTAGTGTCCCAGTTAACTTGCTTCCTTTTCCTCCAGGCTCAAAATAAAATTAAACTCTTCTACCAAAACAGGGAAAAAGAAAGGGAAGAATTAGGTCTTGTGTCTCACTGTAAGCAGGGACGTTATGCCATGCACTCGTAAGGGAACTTTACATATCACTTAAGATAATTCTCACAATAACTATGAGACAGTAATATTTATAGAGTTTCTTACTATGTGTCAAGTATTGTTAGGTACTGGGCTCACAGTAATGGGTAACTCAGGACATATTCATTCCCTTATGGATGTTACAGGTGAAGATTCTGAGTCAGGTTAAATACCTGCCCAAGTTTAACCAGCTAGTAAATGGAAATTCACAGGGCCACGCTGGGGTGTGCATGATAAGGAGAAGGGCCCACTCTTACCTTGGGTCAGGGGCTGAACTGAGAGTCTCTGGCAAGTAAAAAGAGCCACATCTTTTAAGGGGCCGCCAGTGGCCTTGTGAGCTTTGTGGTGGGTTTTGAGCTCAGCCAGGGGAATGAAACGCTTCATCATTCGAACAAACTGTACATCCACCTACATGACAACAGTGTGTGGGACAGAAAGATGTCCTCAGCCAAAGGCTGCCCACCCCGTGTTTATGCTTCTTGCAGGGGACCCCCCACAGCAGGGCTGGGACTCCGCTCTGAAGTCAGGTTTTCCTCATCTGAGACACCCGAGACCCTCTTCTTCCCGCTCTCTGCCCACCCCGCCCCTCTCACAAAATATGAAGAAGACCTGGTTTTTACCATAGACCATTTGGGGTTGTCCTTTTTGCTGGATGGGTCATAATGGGGACTCTTTTTCTCAAACTGCGTGTGGTCCGGGTAGGCTTCCTTCACAATCTGAAACCAAAGTTTCCAATCATCTGCCTGTACATCAGCTCTTAGAAATCCCCACGGCCAACTTTTAATCCAGGTCCAACTTTCATTTCTTACCATGCACATTCTTAACCCATCTGCCTTGCTGTGGAGCCAACAAGGGCTCAGATATCTGGAAATAATACCTAGTCTAAGGCAAGCATAGTTAGGAAATCAACCCTTTTTTTTTTACAAGTCATAAAAGCCTATTCTAAAACCAGATGTTAATGGTTATTGTATTATTGGTGCCACTGTTGTTTTTCACCTGCACAGTTAGTTATTTATCCTTCAAACTCTTGGCTTGGAGGAGCTACCACCAGCCGTGTTTTTGAGTGAGAGACCAAGGCTCAGAGATGGAGAAAGGTCTGTGTTTGTGGGCCTGAAATGATGGCTTGCCTTACTCTAGTCCTTATCATATGGAAAGGGCCAGGGCAATCTTTCCATATTACAAGAAGCCTTGGGGGAGGAATGCTTCTTTTAAACATTGCTTCTGTTTAAACTATGCCCCTTTATATCTAGGTAAGTAAGTATCCCTGGAGGGAAAAGGGCTTCAGGCAAAACCTGTCTAACTTACCTTCATAAGCCCCGCGATGCCTGGCTCTTTGCAATTGCTGTGGTAGAAGAAGGCTTCTTCCTCCAGCTTCATGGCTCTAAGGAAGTTCCGGGCCTGGCCCAGGGGAGAAGAAATAAAAACTATCGTCCCCACCATCTGGAAGAACTAGCTTTTAGCAGAAATCAAGTTTGTTTTTATTAGAGGAGTTCTTATTTGAAGCTTCCCCCAATTCATTAAGAAAGTCTGTCTCCTTTGCCAGGATACCCAGATTTGTACCAGGAACAGGCTAGAGCACAGGCCATCTGTAAATATCATACAGTCAGACTAATTAAGGTATTAAACACATTTTTAGGTTTGGATTCTGGGAAAAAGCAATCTTGGCCAAAAGGTTCTGCTACTAGATAAGACATGAGAATAAGGCAAGAATTTAGGGCCTTGGGTGTCGTGCTCCTTACACCCTTACCTGGTAGTTGCGAACACCATCCCAGCATGCTGTCTGATTGGGCTGTGCTTTGAGATCCTCAATGCCAAACTACCAACAGGAAATACAGCCATTCATTAAATAATCCTTGGCCAACTGGCAAGCATGCATGGAAGCAGGTAGTTCCCTCCCTGCACTGAGAGGTGCTATTGATTGGTAGGTGTTAAGTAGTTTATTGAGAAGTAGCTCCACAGTGCCATTTATATGTTGGGCAAATGTAAATAAGCCTTGTGTTATCCTATTATCCTTGCTGATAGAGGATTCCTTGAATGGATAATCCAGAAAATAAAGCAATCTGCTTGTTACTTGTATTTCACCTACTAAAGTATTAAATATTTTTTATATCATATTTCTAATTATATTTTCCCCAGGATTTTTGAAAAATTGGTTGATATTCTTTCCCTGAATGTATACCAACTAAGGAAATACTTGGGAGTATGGTAGGTGGCAAGAGAAAGGCAACTTTAGATTGAAATGTTGCCTACACCGGGGTCGGCAAACTAGTCTTCAGACCAAATGTAGCATGATGCCTGTTTTTGTAAATAAAGTTATACTGGAATACAGCCACGCCCATTCATTTATGCATAGTCTGTGGCTGCTTTCTTGCTACAGTGACAGAGGTGAGTAGTTGCAACAGAGACAGTAAGAGCCACAAGCCTAAAATATTTACTATCTGGCCCATTACAGAAAAAATATGCCAACCCTGCCCTACAAGAAGCCCTGGTGGCGCAATGGTTAAAGCAGTCAGCTGCTAACCAAAAGGTCTGCAGTTCAAACCCACCAGCTGCTCTGTGAGAGAAAGATTTGGCAGTCTGCTTCCCTGAAGATTTACAGCCTTGGAAACCCTATAGGGCAGTTCTACTCTCCTATAGAGTCGCTGTGAGTCCCAGTCAATGTGACAGTAGTGGGTATGGTTTGTTTTTTTTGGCCCTACATAGAAGATTCACAAAACATGTAGTTGATAGTAATACCTTTTCCCCACTCTTAAAGATGGTCATGGAATCCTGTGGTGTTCCATATTAACTTCTCATTTAAAAAATAAACTTAAATTGGAATTGGAGACAGATACACGGTCTTACCTTCACATCTACACCTTTCTCTAGTCGGCTCTCTGGCTCTGACTTCATCAGCCAGTGGCTGCTTGGATTCTTCCCACAATTGTTAGTGGCTGAAGTCTTCTGAGGGCTAGAGTTCTCCATTTTAGCTGACGTTTCATCTGGGTTCCCAGTTTTGGTACGTTTTCCTGATGGCCCCTTCTTGTCTGCAATAGGAAAAGAAAAAGCCTGTCATACCTGCTGAGAAATAATGCTCCATTGTGGGAAAAGCATATGCTTTGCAGTCAGACCTAGATTCAAATCCTGGATCCGTCAGTTATAGCTGTAGCATCTCAACTGCTGAACTTCAGTTTCTTGATCTATAAAAATGGAATAAGAATACCTACTTACAAGTTATCTTCTGGATTATCCATTCAGCAGAATAAGAATACCTACCTTACAAGATGGCTTTTAAAGATGAAGTACAGGTCCTAACAGAGTGCCTGGCATATATTAAGTAGTCAATAAATGTCTTCCTTCCCTCACTCATTCTTCTGTACCTTTATTCAGGTGGTTCTGTCCAATGAGGAAAATGAGCACATATTCCATCGAGTAGTTACGAAGATTCAATAAAGTAATACAAAGAGCTCAGAACAATGCCTGACATTATAAATACTCAAGAAATATTAGCCATTATTACTATCATCTGATACTTCTTTCTTCCTTGCACACTGCTTCAGCTACACTGGCCTGCCTCCTTTTTGCTTGTTGAAGGTGTCAAGAGAAGCAGGAAAAAAACAGATCATTTAGGACCTGTAGACATGGCAGAGGGAGCCCTAGTGGCACAGTGGTTAAGAGCTCAGCTGCTAACCAAAATGCTGGCAGTTCAAATCCACCAACCGCTCCTTGGAAACTCTATAGGGCAGTTCTGCTCTGTCTTGTAGGGTTGCTATGAGTTGGAATTGACTCGATGGCAACGGGTTTGGTTTTTGGGTTTTCAGACATGGCAAAGACAGATTTTTATCCTAAGAGAACCAAAGAAAAGGTCCTTGGAACAAAGTAGGCACTCAATAGCTAACAGTTGTTAAGTTCTAACTATATGACAGGCCCTGTACTAAGCTCTATGTTGTCCCTAACCCTAACTCAGTTAATCTACACAACAACCTATATTTCCACATCTGGAAAAGGTGCCCCAGATCACACATCCAGTAAACAATCCAGATCTGAGCTCAGGATCTGTCACTCTGGTCTATCTGAATCCACACTCAATGACTACTATATTGCCTCTGAATTGAGTCTAAGCTTGTGTATCATTCATTAAATATCATTCATGAGTGTCTAGTGCTCTAACCCAACACACCTTACTAATTTCCTTGTGATCCTTAAGAGGTAACAGGCACGGTAAACACCATGTGTGTTGGTAAATAACAAGTTTGTTGCCTTCCAATGCTTTGTTCCTGCTCTTCATCCACTTACAATGCTTGTTAATATAAGAATGGCATCACTTTTTCTGTGGAAAGCCTTCCCATTCTTTAAGGCTAGATCCAAATTTCACTTCCTTCTCTAGGCATTCCTCCTTCCTCTCAAACCCCTACAATGGTTTTCTGGACTCTTTGATCTACTGTTTCCATTTTCCCTGAGAGTAGGAACTGTATTTTTTTACCTTCATACTTGCCACCCTAAATTGCAATTTTCTTTTTTTCTCGCTCAACATACTGCTATTGCGCAAGTGAACAAAGAGAAGGGACGCAGGGCACGGGCTTGTTGCGGAAAAATAAAGAAGATGGAGGGCGATTAGTGATGACAGGATGAAAAATAAACCACAAGGGATTCTCCCCACAAACAGGGAGTATTAAGTGAACAATATTCAACAGGTCCTAGAGAAACGTTCTTATAGAACTGCCTTTTTGCAGCCTAGGTTCAGCTCACCTGGCCCAGCAGCCCCAGTCAGCCTCTTCCGGGGTTTCGGCATGGTCTCTCTGCGGGGGCTGAGGAGCGAATGATTCTGAAATCAACCGAGAGGCAGAAGGGGTAACTCTACAGTACCAAAAACCTGCGCAGAGCAAGATGGAGACAATGCAGACAAACAGGGTGAAAGCGTCCAGAAACTAGAGCTCTCAGCCTCGAGGGTCTTTTACGAAGAGCAGACAACTGTGTTTTCAGCGCCTCAAATCCCCCCACCCCACTTCACCCCCGTTTCCATCTAGCATAACCTGCTCCTAAATTTTCCTGTCCTTCTCAATCCGTCTTTCATAAATCACTGCACCTCCGCAAAACATACCCCAATTTACTTCCCAAGGCGCCGGAAGCCCACGCTTGCCCTCCCCCCGTCGCTTTTAGTGTGCGTCATTCTTGAGCCGAGGATCCGGGGATTTCTGGGAGTTGTAGTCTCCGCTCTTTCGGCCAACTAGCCTGTGTCCGAGCCGAGTGAGGCTCCCAGAATGCAGTGGACGCGCCGAGTCGTGACTACCCGTCCAGCCCTGCCGGACGATCGCCTCAAAGGTCGCGTGCGATCGCCGTGGCAGTAGTACGGAACTGCGACCATGCTGTGGAGCGGAGGTTGGCGGCTCACGGTGCAGCTGGGCTGCCTGCGCGGCGTTCTCTGGGCGCCTACCCATAGGACCCTCAGACAACTGGTCTCCTGCATCGACCGTAAGGCTCGCCCCGGGGCGTGCAGTGTCCAGGGCCCGGCGTCCGCGAGGCAGGAGCCTCCGCGCGGCTCCTCTTCCCTGTCCTGGGCGGTCACTGGCCAGGACCGCCCTTCCCCTTGCCCGCCCTCACTGCCCGCCCTTCTGTCGTGGGCTTCGTCTGCCGCTGCAGCCCTTCTCGTTCGACCGCTCTTGGCGCTCTTGGAAACGGTGACTCAAGGCCGGCCTTAGAACCTGAGCCCAGTCTCGGGCAGGCACACCGCGCCCCAGTCGAGAGGAGCTCGCCCTGTCTACCGTACCGGGCCTGCCTTAAGATAAATTGAGATGTTAAAATATTTTGGTGCTATACACAGATTCGGAGCCCCGGTGGCGCAGTGGTTAAGAGCTCGGCTGCTAACCAAAAGGTCGGCAGTTCGAATCCGCCCTCCGCTCCTTGGAAACCGTATGGGGCAGTTTTACTTTGTCCTGTGGTGTTGCTATGAGTGGAAATCTACTCATCGGCAGTGGTTTGTTGTTGTTGTCTATACACAGATTGATACTTGTTACCGATGTTATTCATTAACTGTTCAAATTCTCCTTAAACTTAGTTTATGTTGTGAACCTATTGGGCTATCTCTTTTCTGTTCTGCTATTATCCCCGTTTTTAAGATAAGGAAGGAACTCATAGCTTTGTTTTTATTTAAATCGTAACAATAGGTCATAAAGGTAATAAAATGTAAAAAGATCGCTGATGGTGGTTTTGGTCAGGAAAAGTTAGAGATAAAAGATTTGCTCACATATGTAGATTGTACTTCATAAATACCTTTACTGTTGAAATTCCTGAAGGAAAAATGCCTATTGAAAATGGGAAGCTACCATGGATTACAAACCTGAATGTCTTCCAGGACTAGGCAAATAATTTGAAGGTAACAGGTAGCCACGAGGATCTAGGTGTACTAAGGGCTACCCCTTCTGCCAGCTTATTACTTTTCTTCAAGCACTTACTACTTTCTTATTTTGAAACAACTATTTATTAATTTTAATAAGTGATGGTTTGGATTGGGTTTTGTATTCAGAGTAGTTATGAATGCCTTAGACTGACCCCCACGTCTATAAAGTACAGAGAGTAGTGTTTTCTTCCCAGTGTCCTACAATGCCTTCACGAGGTGCTACCCTGTTCTAGCTTTGTAGTTTGGTAAACAAGGTCAGCCTTTGTTGATAGCAAAGCCGCTAAGCAATTGTTCTGTCAGTAAACATGTTAAACAGGAGTGTTTCTAGCACTTAGTACTGTAACTTCAGTCCCTGGTATTCTTTTTCACTTTTTTTTTTAAAAGGAATTTTAATTAGTCCATTGAAAGAAAGTTGTCTAATTGTACGTTAGTGTGTCACATTACTGGAAATTATCAAATATTTCTCTTGTTGCATATTTTAATGTTAAAAATAATTTTTAAAAGAATTATGATTGTTTGTTATAGTTCAATTTAATACAGCATTTAACAATTTAAGAAGCCTAGAAATAAGACATTGATTTCCCTGTTTGGGTCTAGGTAACTTTTTTCTTGATTGGAACCATTAATAATCTACCAGTATATATAATTTCTTGGTCACAGAACTGTTTATAATGATACATTTTATATTGTGGTTAATATTTCTACAAGTTTGTAGAAAACTTTTAGGAGGTATTCTATTGAGATCAAATAACTTTATAGCAGCACTGTTCAGTAGAAATATAATGTGAGCCACATAAGTAATTTAAAATCTGTAGCTACGTTAAAAAAAAAATAGCAAAAAGAAACAGGTAAAATATAGTTTGTTTGTTTTTTTTTATTTTTTTTTATTTTTTTTATTTTTTTAATATTTTATTG